GATTTTCAACAACTGTAGAATCAAGGTGCAGCATAATAATTTGACAGAAACGAAGGGGGTCTGAATACTTTATGAATGCACTGTATATCCTTTTTGCATTCTTGACTTAATTTGGTATTCTCACAGGTCAAATGCTAATGGCTCTCAAAATGTTATCCATGTCATTTCCTCCTGCTTTTTTTTTTCTTTTTTCTTTGTTGCTGAGAGCCATTTAGATGTTTTGGGGCACAGCCTAAGTTTATATCTGTTTTGTGTTCTCAGTGTGGCATTTTTAACATTACAGTTTTCAAATCTAGTTTGATCCTAAATTTATCGTACCACAAATATGCATGACATCCAAACCTTTATAAAGCCTTTCCAGTTCTAAAATCCTGTTATTTCTGACTAACTCCCATTTCTTATCCAAACCACACAGCAGACTACAAAGTCCAATTTGAAATCAGGCAAACCAAATCTTCCCTTTTCCTTCGAACCATGGAGAATTTGATATTTAATTTACGGCTTTTCCCTTGCCATACAACCCTAGATTCATCTTCAAAATTTTCAATCTTCTTTTCTTTTTGAAGGTAATAATGGGGAGGAAAATGAAGATTCCGGAAAACTATTCCAAGTGATAAGTTGTGGATACAATACAAAGAACCCTACAATTCTAATGGAAATAGAAAGCCATGAGAGAAACCAGTCAAATAATTGGAATCAGGAAAGTTCATCTTCCATTCATGCACCAATGAAAGCATCTGTGGCCCAACAAGGAAAAATAAAGAACAAATATATTGGAAAATGTATAAAACCATTCAAAGACAAATTTGATGTAAATGAACACAATCAAACCCAAACCAAAGGAGAAGATTATATATCTAGAGACAATGGAAAAAATTACAAATGGACCTTGTCTCTTCCTCATAAAAATGGGTCCCGTACATCTCAAAAAAGAACCCAGGCAGAAGAGAAGCCCTATAAGTGCATGGAGTGTGGAAAGAGCTTTATTATGAACCATCAACTTATCTACCATAAAAAGATCCACAAAGCAAAAAAAACATATAAATGCAAGGAGTGTGGGAAGAGCTTTACTAGTAACAGTCATCTTACATGTCATCAAATGATCCACACAGGGGAGAAGTCTTATAAATGCATGGAGTGTGGAAACAGCTTTACGAACAGTAGAGAACTTACTTCACATAAAAGGATCCACACAAGAGAGATGCACTACAAATGCTCAGAGTGTGGAAAGTGCTTGAGCTCACTCAAAACTCTTTCTGTACATAAAA